TCATAGACTTGTCCGTGTACAACTCCCCAATTCCTATAGGTCGTAGACATATCCGCAAAACGATTTATTAACACCTACAAGTTGTAAGTCTGCCCGTGTATGATTTACAAACATCTATAGGTTGTGTACCTGCCCATGTTTGACCTGACTTGACTTAGAATAGTTTGTGGTCGTTATCAATACCCTACTAGGTAACTGCATTACTAATCCGGTAGTACTATAAAAGTCTCGGCCTCTCTTCATTATTTTCATTTTTCTTTACCCTTCGCTACTCCATACATTAAAAGTGTATATATATATATATATATATATATATATATATATATATATATATATGTATATGGTTAAATAAATTTGGCTCATATAATTTCATCTAACACGGAAGATTCCAATCACAGATAATAGGCACACATAGTACTTAATTATCTAAATACGTTTTATCTATGTGTAAGATGAAAGTAAATATGCACTCACCTGAGTTAGGAGGGTGATTGGAGAATTAGGAAGCGCTCCGCCAAACTCCTAGACTTTTCTTCTGATGTTACCTAGATACGAATATCACTATGTCTTAGGTGTTGTTTGTTTTGGAAGTGGGTAAATGTCTTTTGTCTTTTTCCAAGTTTGCGGAAGAAGACGTGTACTTGCGAAACGTCTATCCGCCAGAAGGGAAAAGTGCTCAAAAAGTACTTTTGTAGAAAAACAAACGAGGCCTTAGTCTTATATTCCTGGAGACTAATGATAGTCTAGATTCCTTACTAATCCCAATGTCTACATCAAGATCTATAAAGTAAGGAACAACCAGGTAGGATCATATCGGAGGTAGGGTCCGTTTGCTATACAGAGTATACTATTTGGAAATCCCACTTTAAACACCTCACTAAATCCAGCCTAGATATCATCCCCGTAAGTAGATTAATCAGTATAATGACTTGTAATTACTGGTAAATCTTACTTATAGGTTCATAATAACGACTATGACTATAATTAAAAGTTACACTTGAATAAAATAAGTGTAGCTTAACTTACAGAGTAGATCGATGAAAATTGGGAATTAAGCGGGCAGAACTCTGACTTGAGAACTCCTAATTGTCGGCTATCTGATACCACAGGGCTTCGCTATAGGGTCGGGAACTCGAGAGTATCTGGACTAATGGGTGGAAAGAGCTCCAGAGGATTCAGGTGGAGTTGGGATGAGAAATGAGCTGAAACTCGAGGGTTTATATAGTCTTGAAAATGGTGTGTGTCACGCACCATGTCCCCTGTGCGCCGCACCTCTAGTCGAATTATGAGGGGAGTGACAGTGCGAGTCGTGCAAACTGTCTGTGCGTGTGGGTGCAAGCGGAAAAATCTAAATTCTTAGAAAATTCATAACTAATTCATACGAGCTCTGTTTTCAATGCGTTTTATATCCATGCGTAGCTATCGACAAGATCTATAACTTTCATTTAGACTCGTCAGCTAATTTTGACTTTATTTTTAAAGTTATATATTTAACAAGCTTAGACTATTAAAGTCCGTTAAAAATTCATAACTCTCTCATATGGTATTCGTTCTCGATTGTCTTCATATCAACGAATATGTAATGACGAGATCTTCAACTATCGTTCAGATTGTTTTTCCTAACAATCGACCGATTTTAATTTGGGTTTCTGAGCCGTATACTACTACGCTGAAATATTAGAAAAATCATAACTTTCTCTCACGAAGTCGGATTTGGGCATTCTTTGTATGTATGGAATCCTTGTCACATATATTATAACTTTGGTTAAGATTGTTTATCCTAAATAATCCTTCTATCACAAAGTCCTTTTTAAAGCTTATTATACCCTTAATTGACTAGCCCGAATATGCGGGTGTTACATAGACCAAATGGCAAGATAGAAACTTTTCCTTTTTACCAATAAGGGCTCAGAAGTTAACGAGATGCAACCTTTAATTTGGAGTATTTCCAAACTCTAACTCAATATCAACCAAGGGACCAAAAAAATCATAAAAGTCTAGATCTACAAAGAAGAACACATAAATCTTGGAACTTGAGGACTAACCAACATCCAAGAATATGTTGAGGATGATGGATCTAAGCTGAAACAAAGCTTCCTTGCACCAAGAGAGACTTCCTTCGCCTTCAAGCTTCACCAAAAGGGGTTCAAACAATCAAAACTCAAACATGGAGGCTAGGGTTAGGGTAAGGGGTGCTTGGAGAAGATGGAGGTTGACAAATGACCTAATTCTCAGAGATAATGCCTTTAAATATAGAATAAACCCTAAAAACATAGGCTTTGGCTAAATAGAAGTCACGTCGTGAGGCCTCTTCAGGTCGTGCTATGAATGGCCTGTTCCAGCAAGGCCCAAAACCAACTTAAGCCCAAACGGCCTTACAACCCAAAACTCAACCTCTTAACCAAAGTCATTTACTCTTAGCCCAAAATCCTTATTCCTTTAAGGTCTATACTTCGTCCCTTAAGACCTGAGACCTTCTCTTGATTAAATTAAAGTCCGATTGTTCAAATAAGGAAACATCCCCAAACCGGATGTTACATCGAAAAATAGGTAGTACTAGGGATGGAAACGGGTCGGGGATGAGGCAGTGTTTCACATCCCCATTCCTCGTCCCTGAGTCTCCTATCTCATCCCCGCCCCCATCCCCATCCCTAGCGGGTGTGGGGAATCGAATCCCGTCCCCTTTTAAAATTGTGCATATCCTCGGTCCATCCCCGACCCATCCCCGATCATATATGTTGACATTTTTCATATTACAAAAGCTATTTTTTCATACATTAAATCACAAACAATGTAGTAAATTCTTTATTAACGCAACTAGTGTATCGATGAAAAAACAAGAATTGATTAGTTTGTATATAGTTTAATAACTAAGAATTAGAATAACAATATTAATTTCTTACATTAACTTCTTAAATTGCATAATATATTAATATTAACTAGATAAAATGTAAGTATACCATTAATTGTTACATTGTTTAATAACCAGAAATTAGAATAAATAGAGAATAAATATCTTGATTACGTCGTTTAATAGCAAAAACTAGAAAACGATCGTCTTCCCAAGCATACGACCAATGCTAATCACTCAAAGTTGAGCTTAGGAAAACATTACTATTAACTAACTTTTCATTGTTTCCATACCATACCAAATTATAATACAGATTATAATAGATCATGGATGCAAAAAACTATAATTTAATCCTAAAAAATGGAAGTATATATTATCAGTGTCCTTTTTAAAAGATGCAAGAATATCTTCTTATTATTAAATACGAACATATTATCCATTTGTAATATGTGACAGGTGTATAATATGTAATGCATAACATACAACAAAAATAAAGCGGGGATGGAATGGGTTGGGGAATACAATACCCGGCCCCGACCCCTCCTCGATTTCTAGCTATACTGGGATCCCCGACTCCATATCCGAGGTCCGGTTTCATGGGGAATCCTCGGCCCCGATCGGGACGGGTCAACCGGGTTCCCCAACAGGCCGAGTCAAATTTTCATGCCTAAGTAGTACTAGAAGTCACTTAGGACTAAACCCGCTCTTTCGAGTTGGTAACCAACTGTGATTCCAAAAATGTTAGGAGAGTCTCGTTATTCATGTAACTATGTAAGATAATATATCGTATTATCGTTCTTTTTGATTTGCTTACTTTTATAACATTTATCTACTTATCCTACTATTAACGGATTTTGTTTATATATATAAAAAAATTTGTATTTAAGAGCCCATTTTTATTTTTCACACCGGACCCTCAAAATCAACGAGACGCCCCTATTTAGCCACATGGTAACACATAGCTTTCTCATGTAATTCATGTATATGTTTAAATAACCATCCCGGCCGAAACTAGGATACATGAAATATAATTCGATGGTATCATTTACATTTTCAACCATAAATTACCATAATAATCCGACCAAAATAACCCAGAACTCGGAAACATATACCCGATCAACAAGCTTAAAACTAACAATGGGGGATACCGTTGGTCATGGTGATTTTTTTTGTAAACTAGCTAGAAGGCAAAAATGGTAGAATAAGGGGGCTTTCATGTTGAATTGATTGTAAACTTATTGTTTAGTGTTTATAACATTTACTAGTATCGACATTAAGGAATTTATGTTTTTTGAATAAAGAAATGATTATTCTTGATTATAATTTTTTGTAAGTTTAAAATAACTAAATTATAGACAATCCGATATTTAAGTTTTAGTACTCATTGTATCATATGCTACCAATTCAAATTTAACTTACATTTAATTTAATGTGATAAGAAGAAATTTTAATAGTTCGAATAAATTCGATGAGTATCGATCCATTGATTTTCTTTGCCCTATGCGTGATTATAAAATAATGTTCATATATTTTTATCGTATAACAGACCAAACATATGTAAAAATAAAATAAACAAAAGTGCAATAAATTTTGTAGTTCAACAAAAATCCATATCACTACAAACAAAAAGTACACAAATCACCTAAAACAATACCTTTGTTCACGAAGAAAATCTGTTATTTAATAATTGTCAATACTAGGTTGAAATCGAAGCAAATACATATATTATTCAAGTAAAGAAGGATAAAACCTAAATTAAATATGCAGCAAAATCTGTGATTTGAAGAAAATACATATATTTATAAGTTTTTAAAATGTTATGGGTGGAATTGTTTGTTTAAACAAATATTTCTACAGGCATTAGCATTATATTGAGAAACATATGTTAAAATGGCCAAGAGATTTTACATGTTTTACAAATAAAATGAATAACATGTTATTTTCCTTTTTTATGCCGGCTATATAGTGATTTGAAGTTCTGAACGTACAAAGGGAACTCGAAATGGATATATAAGCCATGCCAAAACTTTGAAAAGAAAATTCGGAGCTTCTTCTTTCTTTTTGAACAACTCCGGAGCTTATTCTAATGGCGTTTTCTTCCATTTCTTGGTCCTTTACAATATTTTTCATAATTTTGCAGATGTTAATCATGTTATGGAGTGGTAGTTGGCATGCTAATGGATGCTATACCTCCATCTTCAGCTTCGGTGACTCCCTAGCAGACACCGGTAACTTAAAACAAGTGGCCTCCATAACCGACCAGTTCTTTCCTTTTCTTCAGCCGCCTTACGGTGAAACCTTCTTTCATAAACCCACTGGTCGTTGCTCAGATGGCCGACTCATCATTGATTTTCTAGGTAACTCCTCTATGTGTGTGTAAATAATATCTACTAAACGTTTCTAGGAAGAAAATAGTGCATGCACTTGTTGAATGACTATAGTTTTTTTTTTGGTTTAATTATGAAGCTGAGAGTCTCGGGTTGCCATTGGTACGACCATTTCTGCATGACAGTGACAGTGTCGTGGGGCCGGGACAAGGAGTTAACTATGCTATGGTGGGCGCGACAGCATTGAATTCATCGTTTCTTGAAGCAAGAGGAATTGTTAATGATTTGACAAATGCCTCTTTAGGAGTTCAGTTGGCATGGTTTAAACAATCATTAGCTTCTATTTGCAGCAACGTTTCAGGTAACCAATTAAGCAGTTGTAGTCTATACAAGGTTCTACAATATACCATATTGCAACCATATGGGTGCAAATATATCACTTGATATTAAATTAAGATTATGATGTTCAAACATCGTTCAGTGTTTTTAATTGTTGGCAGATTGTAGAAACTTAATTGGACGTTCTTTGATCTTAGTTGGAGAGATTGGTGGAAACGATTACAACTATCCGATAATTGATGGAAAACCCATTGATGAGGTCGAACCATTCGTTCCTCTAGTAACTGATACCATCGTCTCAGCTGTCGATGTAATTAGAAGCCACTCAACTCATACAAAACACATTTTAAAGACAAAACTGCAAATTTGGTCCTTATGGTTTGCAAAAATTTTTGAATGGGTCCAAAAAGTTTCCAGCTTGCACAAAATGTTCAAAATCAAGGTTTTTCTGGATTTTTGGTCCAAAAAATTTGAAATTACGGGTCCAAAAAATTTGAAATTACGGGTCCAAAAAATTTGAAATTACGGATCACCCTTTTAATTTCAGTTTTGTATTTTCTTTTCTTATTTATTTTAATACTTTATGAAATAAAAATAAAAAACAAAAAAGATAGACCCCCACTCCACTCCTACCAGTACTCTCTCTCTCTCTCTCTCTCTCTCTCTCTCTCTCTCTCTCTCATCCCAAGACCAAAAAACACAACTACTCCATCATCTTCTTCCTGTAGGTCCATCATCTTCTCACCATCTTCTCTCCATGGACACACCACCTGCAGCCTCATATTTGTTACAGTTCACCGATAAGCAAACACCCTTCACATCATAATCCCACGCTCGACCACCGCAATCAAAAACACGACCTACAAATCACAAAGAAAACACACACAAGTTCATTTTTCTTCAACCGGGTTTACACCATTTTTGTCTTTCTCGAGTGTGTGTGTGTGTGTGTTTTTTCAGTTCTTCAATGTATGTATTGAACACAGATGTCAAAACTTCGATTATTTATGGAAATATGCTTCGATTTATGTTGTTCATCAACCCTTCTTCTTAAGAGCCCTAATTTCTTTGATGGTGGTTGTCCTATGATAAACAACATATATGGAATCCCTTACGCAAGCCTGTGTTGAACCAAAGGTTAGGGTTCTTATTCAAATAAGTAGCAATGATGATGGCGAAACCGATGGAGCAAAAGAAAACTCTGACAACTGGAACTCAAAAAACGGTGCGTGCAGGTGAGAAAGAAGAAGAAGAGAAGGAATGGGGGAATTAGTGTGCATTCCTCATATTCTAGTTCATCATCTCATCATCGACGCCTGTGTTACCAGTTCATCATCTCATCATCGACTCATCAGTCGGGGTAATTTGGTGTTGTTGATGATTGTGTTTAGTTGGACTTTTTCACAACCTCAAAACAAAACCCAGATGGAACACAACTCTCTATTTTCTCACATATCTGGGTTTTTTGATATGAGCTTTTGGACAGAGACGATGGGTAATCTGGAATGTATGTGTACGTGTTTGGTTTATGTGGATTTGTTTTTATTTTCAGGCAAGAAAGAAGCACACAAGTCCAGCCATGGAGTTTTATTTTGAGAGAGAGAGAGAGAGAGAGAAGGGGGAGGGCTCCGGTGGGGTGGGTAGAGAGAGAGAGAGAGAGATATGGGGTGAGCCAACTTAATTCCTTTTTTTGCATTAATATTTATAAAATAAAAATACAAAAAAGAAATTTAAAGGGAAAAAAAGTGAATTCAAGTGCTCCATGGACCAAAACTACAAAAATTTCTTAAGTTTAGGACCAAAAACCCAGAAAAACCTTAACTTTGGATCTTTCGTGCAAGCTGAAAACTTTTTGGATCCCATCCAAAGATTTTTGCAAACCACAAGGACCAAATTTGCAATTTTGTCCATTTTAAATCATCAACATCAACACCACGCCCAAGTTAAAATGTCTTTCAAATATAGGAATTGATTCAGATTGGGGCACAAACACTGGTCGTTCCAGGAGAATTTCCACTTGGATGTTCTTCTCAATATTTAACAATACGTGGTTCTGAAAGTGAAGAGTATGATAACACAACAGGCTGCCTCATCAAGTTCAATAAATTTGCCGAATACCACAGTGAACTACTGCAAACGAAACTAAATCAGCTTCGAGAGCTTCATCCCAATGCCATCATCATCTACGCTGACTACTACAATGCTGCCATGCAATTTATCCGTTCTCCAGATAAATTTGGTGCATAATATATTTGTGTTCATAAACTAACTTGAATCATTTTATGCATCTCAAATATTAATGTGATTTCATGTCTATATTGTCCATTAATGGCATTGTAGGATTTACAAATGGTGCTCTGAAGACATGTTGTGGAGTTGGAGATCTGTATAACTAAAACAGATCATCTCAATGTGGATTGTCATATGTGCCTGTGTGTGATGATCCGAATACGTATGCTATGTGGGATGGAATACACTATACAGAAGCAGCATACAAAATAATTTCTGACAGTTTATTTCAAGGGCCATACACTTGGCCCCAGTTTAATTTGTTGTGCCCATTTCATTCGGTGGTGAGCTCATAGGAATACGTATGCTAATATGTAATCTAGATATTTGCTCAAATTCAGTATTAAAACATCAGTTAAAATATGATTGATAACAATACATAATAAGGTCTTAACATTTCGAATAACAGATCGATGAGTTTTGATATGATGTTTACATTAGTTAAAGATGATTGATATGCCTAAGTTTCATATATATATATATATATATATATATACGGTGATCAGGCGGATAAACTAACAAGCTTACTAGTGTTCGGTTCGAGTAAAATTAGACTTATAATAGATTGATCAAATTGGTTAATTGATTCAATTCAATATATGATAGGTCATCATATATTAGCTCCCACAATTATTTACCCACTTGTCTATTTAATCCTAGGTTTTAGTCAACACACTAGTCCTACAACTTTTGCAATCCACAAAGATCATAAGATTCAAGCTCAATTAAGAAAGATAGTCATACAAACTTAATCAAACTCGGCAATAAATAGATAAAATAGTTATCATAATCACAAGAGGTTATTTAATAAGCTAATTAAACAAATAACCAATAAGAACTTAATCCAACCATAAATGAAACCACATATAGTCAAGTAAATCTATGCCAAACGAAAGTCATGGGGTTTTAGCCCATGATTTCAGCAGCTAAAGTCAGAAAAACGAATTCTATATGCAAAGTCATGATTATACTAGAATATAAAATCGTAATTAAGAAGTATTTGCCTTATTACCCTTAATTCCAAAGCTTCAATCGATTTCTTCACTCCCAAGCTTCAATTCAGATTCTTGGCCTTCAAAAATCGTCCAAAGATCCCAGCAAAAGTTCCCAATTCGGAGAATAATGGCTTCTATTTATAATATCCTGAAAAACAGACCACCATGACATGGTAAGGCCACAACGTCGTGGTCTTCGTGATTATCCCGTATTCAACAAGTCTTCGAAGTCAATCGGGAAAGGTCAAAATACCACGTCGTGGTGATGTCACCACGACGTGTTTGGTATATTTTTCTTCATTTAATAATCTTTAATCAATTTCCTTAGCTTCCAGCTTCCAGCTTCCTTTCTGCTCCAAGCATATCTTTTACCCCTACAACACAATATATACAAATTAAGTACCTTTTGTTCTATAAAAGGTATAAAAGTAATTAAAAATATTAAGATATGATGTAGAATTATGTGTACAAATATGCACATATCAAAATACCCCACACTTATTCTTTGCTTGACCTCTAGCAAATTGATTTCTATTATCTCACCAATATCTCATAGAACAATCCATTTCAAGCCCAACCATTATCCCAAGACCGCAATGCATGTATTTGTGTCTGTGATTCCTAAAAACCTCCCATTCCTAAATACTCACAACCCATATGAACCTTCACCCCTTAACTTATATGACACTCATTTTTGCAACCCTCCGAATCCATCCCCAGAAATCTTTCTTAACCTCAAGGTATTTTGGGTTAAACTTCCGAGCATACATCATCTAGAAATCTGTCTCAAGGTCTCGAAAGCCAACTGTTGGTCCGGCCCCCAACGAAATGTCACATTCTTCTTAGTCAAACGAGTCAAAGGTATGACGATCTTGGAGAAATCCTGGATGAATCTCCGATAGTACCCCGCTAGACCCAAGAAGCTATGGATCTCAGATGCATTCTTCGGTACTTCCCACCATATCACTGCCTCAATCTTGGCTGGATCAACCAAAATACCCTCTTGGTTGATGATGTGCCCCAAAAACTGCACCTCTCGCAACCAGAAATCACACTTTGAGAACTTGGCATAAAGCCTTTCCGTCCTCAGTGTCTCCAACACCTCCCTCAGATGCTGCTCATGTTGCTCCTTGGTCTTAGAATAAACCAGAATATCATCGATAAAAACGATCACAGACCGATCCAACATCGGCCTACACACCTTGTTCATGAGATCTATGAACGCTGCTGGAGCATTGGTGAGCCCGAATGGCATCACCACAAACTCATAGTGACCGTACCGAGTCCTGAAAGTTGTCTTCGGTATATCCTCATCCCTAATCCTCATCTGATGGTACCCCGACCGAAGATCAATCTTGGAAAATCAAGATGCACCCTGCAGCTGATCGAACAAATCATCGATCCTTGGGAGCGGATAACGGTTTTCACTGTTATCTTGTTCAGCTCTCGATAATCAATACACATCCTGTGTGACCCGTCCTTCTTCTTCACGAACAGGATCAGTGTTCCCCATGAGGAACTGCTCGGACGAATAAAACCTCGGTCTAGCAGCTCCTGAAGCTGCGTAGACAGCTCCTGCATCTCGAGCGGAGCTAGCCAGTATGGTGCCTTAGCTATCGGAGCGGTACCCGTCACCAAATCAATGTGAAACTCTACTTGCCTCTCCGGAGGCACTCCAGGCAACTCTTCGGGAAAGACATCCCGAAAATCTCGTACAACCGCTACACTATCCAAATCTGTCGGGGTCTCAACCCTCGTATCCGAGATATATGCCAAAAATCCCGAACAACCCTGATGGAGAAGTCTCCTCGCTCTCGCAGCCGAACAGGGGGTTGGCCACTGCGAGGCCCACTTTCCATGAATAACCAGTTCTCCCCCACTTGGGGTTCGAACTCTCACCAGCTGGCGCTCGCAATCTATCATGGCCCCATTGGCCCCCAACCTGTCCATCCCAATGATCACCTTCAGTCCTTGCAACGGTATCGGTACCAGATCAACCTGAAACCTCCCCCCAAACACATTCAGGACACAATCCTGATATAACCTCGTAGCACTCACAGTGCGGTCGTCCGCAATCTCAACCTCAAGTGGGGAATCCAAAGTTCCCGGAGCATCCCAGAACTTCTTGCTAAGCGCAAGAGATACAAACTATCGGGTAGCTCCCGAATCGAAAAGAACATGAGCCGACATACCATTGACCAAAAAGGTCCCTATACACATAAGCAACACAAATCAATATCAAGCATGAAAAATAAAATACGTACCAGCCACGACGTTTGGCGCTGCCCGAGCCTCCTCGGTAGTCAACTGAAAGACGCAACTCTTCACCGCAGGAACATCCGCCTTGGCAGGGCGGCCATCAGTGATCCTCATTGTGGCGGGCTCAGGCGCCGCCACTGCTCCTCCTCCTCCCCTCAACCTCGGACAATCGGCATTTTTATGGCCAATCTGGTTGCAGTGGAAACAAATCAAGCCCTTCTTGGGGAAATCCCTGCTCATGTGGCCCGACTGGCCACACGCGTAACATCCCAAGCCCGCTGCTCGACAAGCCATACTGTGCGGCTTACCGCACTTGGCACACCAGCCACGGCCCTGTTGGCCTCTACTGGAGGAATCAGAGGTCTTAGGCTTTTTAGCCTGACCTACAGTTGTCTAAACCTACTCTGGATTCCGCTTGGTGCGAAGCTCTAACTCCATTTCCCGCTCTCAGGCCTTCTCCACCATCTCATTCAGGGTTTTGCACCATGTAAATCTCACGAACTCACGGATATCATCCCTCAGCATGGAATGATACCTCGTCCTCCTCATATCCTCATCCGCAGCATACTGCGGGATCAACAGTGCTCGTTCCCGAAACTTAGCGATCTCCGCCATAGTCTCGGTGGTCTGTTGGAGCTCCTGAAACTCCTTCACTAACCGTTGCACCTCAATAGATGGTGCAAACTCCAGATCAAATCATCTGACAAACTCCGCCCATGTCATCTCAGCCACACCGGCTGCTCTCACCTGGCTAGTCACCTCCTCCCACCCAATCCCTGGCTCGGTCCATCAACATATACGAGGCAAACCCCACCTTTGCTGCATCGGGGCAAAAGCTCGTGCACTGGTCATTCTCCATGTCTGCCACCCAGCTTCGACTAGCTATGGGGTCCCTGACCCCGAAGAACTCAGGCGCTCCGCACGCCTTGAACTCCCTGAACGAGGGAGTTTGGGCCCTGACCTAGCCCGCAGCAATCTCGACTCTGAAAGACCTGAGCCGCTCCTCCATGATCTCCATCATCCCTTCCTTGACAATCCCAAAAATCACTGGGGTAGCATCAAGGATGCCCCTCGTAACCTCAGCTGCAATAAGCTCGCGCAGCCTCTCGTCAATGGGCTCGGTTTCGTCGCCCGACCCAGATCCGGATCCTGATCCTGATCCTAATCCCCCTGCTCCATGTCGTGTCACCACCATTCTGATCTGAAATACCATAATATAGAATGATCAAATATCCAAAAAGGAGATCCCTCCACACCGGTTCTCCTTAGAGCTTCCAGATCTAACATTAGTTCGGGTACAGGTCCTGTGCTTTCAATAGTACGGGCCCAATACTACCTTCCACACCTACCTGTACCATCCCCAAGGCTTTATCTGATAACTCTAACTCGTCCCAGAAACAAACATATCTCACAGGCTACTGCATAACTCAAATCCTAGGCTTTCCTAAGATTTGCTCAAACCATAATCACAACAGACATAACAAGCTGCCCTATGCATGCAAATTATACACAGAACAGGATCAAATAGACTTTCGAATAATAGACTCTACGCTAGGACCACAACCAGACAAGGAACAGGAAATAAGGCCAAATCAATCATTCTAATGCTATAAGATCCTAACCGTATACAATTTTTAAAGCATACACATAGCAAAATCCATCCGACTATCATAATCCAAATATCAGTATAACATGGCTAACATATTAGGGAACTACTTACTTGATCTTGGCCGATTACGTGCATTGCACTCTCCCCTCTTTCCATTTTAAGAAGTTTTTAACTTTTGATTTTTGAAAACAATTTTACCATTTCCTTAGTTTGAGTCCTGACACACCCAAGAGTGTGCCCGAAT